ATGTTTCAAGTTGCTCTGGACAGTTAATAAGCAGATCTGTCTGTTTGTTCAGGAAGTGCTCAGACAGCATGCTGGGGAAGACAATATACAATAACTAGAAAAAAAAGTTATATTGTAAAAGAAAATACAAGGGTAAATGATAGTAGACAATTTGCCTGTTGTAACTTAATTGGCTTCTATTTTAACATGGGGGGGGGGAATTCATTAAGAAATAAAAGTCTATGTTGTAGCATAACATTTTATCACTTTCACAATAGTTACTGTGCAAACAGAGAAGGCGCAGAATTTGAAAAGGAATCGGGTTGCTGAGTTTTGGATATTGTTCTGTTAGTATGAGGGCAAAAATTCCGCTTTTGTATCCATGTGTAGATATACAATTGTGGAATAAACTCACATACAGCATCAGTAATGAAAGATGCCTGCTTTTATTGATTTTGAAGGGGTAAATGGCAACTTCCACCCACACAGCAGGACTTCCCTTTCCTCTGCTCCCCAAATATGTTTTGGATTGTTGAGAAAACTTCTGGAGGAAATCAGGGTTAAGGAGGGCTTAAGGGGGAAGGAGAGGAAGAAAAAAACCAATTGCGTCCACTGACACGATGAAGCTGCCACAATCTTCTCTGCCACTAGAACCAGGCCGTGTTCTCATGCCGTAGAGGTAGATGCAGCCCATGGTGTAACTTTAAATAAGTGAAAACCTTCCCAAGAAGTTTTAATGTTTAAATTCTGCTACTTTTTTGTTATTCTAAGGTACTTTAAATTTAGCTTTCATATTGCATACACACAAGCATGCATATGTATGTATCACCTTGTATACAGTGGTACCTTGGGTTACATATGCTTCAGGTTACAGACTCCACTAACCCAGAAATAGTACCTCGGGTTAAGAACTTTGCTTCAGGATGAGAACAGAAATCATGCTCTGGCGGCGCGGCAGCAGCAGGAGGCCCCATTAGCTAAAGTGGTGCTTCAGGTTAAGAACAGTTTCAGGTTAAGTACGGACCTCCGGAACGAATTAAGTACTTAACCCGAGGTACCACTGTACAAGTAATGCAATTCATAAATGGGGAGGAATAGAAAATAATAGAATTAACAAGTAATTTACAATTTGCATGTTTAGCTTAATGCTTTTCAAGTCATGGGGCGAGTTGGACAAAGGTGGACTTGCTAATCACTATTCTGCTGTCTGGCTAAAAAAGAGTTCATCCCCCAAACTAGATGATTATTTTTTTTACCATTTCGTTTTTTAAAGATCCAAGTGTCTTGAATAATCTAGTTCAAAAGGAAATCTAAACATTTACTAGAAACACATTAAACTTCCTAAAACCAGTATCACAGCTACCTACCAAATAGAATGAATTAAAGATTTCATTTTTGAGTAAAGTAAACCACAAGGGAAACAATGTATATTTTTAAAAATACAGTCGTACCTTGGAAGTCGAACAGAATCCGTTCTGGAGCCAAAGTGTGGCTTTTGATTGGCTGCAGGAAGCTTCTGCAGCCAATCGAAAGCCGTGGAAGCCCTGTCAGATGTTCGGGTTCCAAAGAACATTCGCAAACCGAAACACTCACTTCCAGGTTTGCGGCGTTCAGGAGCCAAAACATCCAAGTGCCAAGGTGTTCGGGATCCAAGGTACAACTGTACTGCAAATGACACAGCCAAGAGTAGTGTTTTGGAAATAAACCCAGATCAAGTCACCACAACAAGCCAATATTCAGGCAAAGTGCAATTGCTCAAATCCTCCTTCTGGCCATGCGGGAGGAGGCAAGTGTGCAAACCTCAGGCTCACAGCAGCTCTTTCCTGTTCGTGCACATAATTCTAGAACTCTGGATTAGTGTAAGGTGCGAACCAGTTCAGTGTGTTCAGTCAAGTTATGAATGAAATGCAATTACTTTCTATCTCAGGAAGAAATACTATTTTGCACAGTAACTAACCCTTGCATCATGGAAAGCTATGAAAACTTGCAGTTAATCTTATACATGTTTACTCACCCACTTTGTTCAATGGGATTTACTTCTCAATACAGTGGGTGCCTCGCAAGACGAAATTAATTCGTTCCGCGATTTTTTTCGTCTTGCGATTTTTTTCGTCTTGCGAAGCACGGTGTCAGGAAAGTTTTGGAAAAGCTTCAAAAATCACCAAAGTCTTTAAAAACCTCAAAAAGGCTACCACACTGCGTTCTATGAGTTGCTCCTCGAAGTCAAATCGCAACTGTATTAACGGTGTTAAGAAAAAGGAAACAAACTTGCAAGACGTTTCCGTCTTGCGAAGCAAGCCCATAGGGAAAATCGTCTTGCGAAGCAGCTCAAAAAACAAAAAACCCTTTCGTCTAGCGAGTTTTTTGTCTTGCGAGGCATTCGTCTTGCGAGGTACCACTGTACATGTACATAGGTTTCACCACTTTAAGTCAAGGAAATGGATTTTGCTTAATAGACTTACATGTGTACAGAGAGAAATCTATCTTGTCTTATCTCTAAGCAGGGAAAAAAATACAATGCAAAAAGTACATGGGATACATGAACAAAGAGTTTTGATTCTGTCTATGTAAAGACATTATTTAGCTGCAAACCATGTTTTATTTGTTATGGCATCTATTAGTATGAAAGCTTGTTCAGGAAGGAAATGAATTTCAGTAAGTGGGCAGCTTTGATTTTGAATCTATTTTTAAAAGCTAGACTAGCCTTCTCTTCCAACATGTCTCAGGACTAGCAACCCACAGCAACTAGATACCTGACAAGACACTGAAAAAAGACATTGAGCAGTCACTTCTCTTCAGGTCTCTATACCACTCTGCTTATTGTTTATCTACCCATTTGTAGCAGATATAGCTGCTTTCATCTTCACATTACTCAGTTTTTTCCTTCCAGCCAAGTTAAACAAGATGGCAAGAATGGAAAAATTCTACCTATGCTGGAGGGTCACCCCTATATGTGCAGCATTTGTGTACCTCATTTAAATCAGCTTCCACCTAAGTGTGGCTGAGAGCCAACTACAAGCTCCTCAGCATCCCAGCTGCCATTTCAAGTTCTAGATACCCATAATTCAATGTATATTCTACAACATGTCTGTACTTGGGATCCACACATAATGAATTCATCATCTGCACAAATCACTAATGACCTTTGTGTAGACTCAGCCCTGGTGTGAAGAAACTAACCTGATTTCTCTTGCTCCCTACCCAGCAGTAGGAAGGTGACTCGGTGATGTGCTGAGGTTGTATTTAAAACTATAGTTGTTCTTCACACTAGAACATTGCAAGCCCTACACTGTGCAGCAAGATTTTAATTTTCTTTCTTCATGGGACAAACAGCTGGACAAAAAGCGCTAAGGCCAATTTTCAAATCTTACTGTCAACAGTAATCCAAGCATTAAGTGCCATTACACCTACAGATACTCCAGCTCTCTGGATTGAATAACATTGATTTTATTTGAGAAAACGGTACATATATATTTTGGACATTTCTTTATCAATTGTTATGCACAATAAAGATATTCTCTATGGCTTGCCAGCCAACAAATTCCAAGTATGCACTCTCATTTCCTCATGTTGGATCAAGCATAGTATCTTAACATGGAATTGCTGTAAAGACCAACAGAGTCTTGTAAAGAAGAAATCATTATTATTATTTTATGACTCTTTTTTCCAGTCCAACCAGCTATCAGAATAAGCAAAGCAACTGCGAAGGGGCAATGTGAATTGAATGTGAAGGGGCCCCTTCGCTCCTTACTCTCCAACAGCAACCACAATAGCAACACCAAAACTTGCTGAAGTGTGAACCTGGGTTTGTGGACTATGTCCTTCCTCTGCAGACTTCCACTCAACCACCAATTCTCAATGTTTATTTTATTTTTTTAAATGACTATTTCCTCCCACTGTGTTTTCAGCGGTTCTTTAGTTGTAAAACTGCCTTGAGTCCAGTCAGGGGAAAAAGGCGGAGCACTAATAAGTCAAGTTTGATTTCCTCCCGCTTTCTTTTTCCTTTCTCCTCCTATGAAGAGGCTGCATCCTAATGTTTTAACTTAATCTTTTAAATTGTATTTTAATCCAACTTGTTTTATTATTGTTTAGCCGCCCTGAGCCCGGTTTTGGCTGGGGAGTGCGGGGTATAAATAAAATTTATTATTATTGATAATAATCAATACAATGATACCCGAATATTCCGAACTTGCCTGTGCTATATATATGTTGGGCACCAATAGTTGGGAAACTATCTTTCCATTGGGGGGGGGCTATATTTCATGGAAAGTTTCCTGGAATTTCGGGTTTTGGAAACTCGAGTAGAGGGAACGTGAAAGGCTGGCGGGAATTTCGCTGGTTGGCTTGGACTGTCTCCGGGGTCGGGAGCCGAAGGAGCGTGTGAAACAGCGAACTCCCCAGAGGCGGCGGGGAGGAAAACACGAGAGGCAAAACTCCAGCCTTCACAGCCACTTATCCTCGAGCGACTAAGGCACGAAGACTTTCTCCGGGCGTGAATGGGCTGAACGTGGACGGCAGACTAAAAGAGGTTTCTCTAAAAAAGTTCGCGGGGGTGTACAGCTTTGAAAATTACGGGCCGGGACAAAATACTGCAAGGCCATATGTAGTCAAAGGTATGAGACTGAGGGAAAGCTGACGGCGGGAAAGCCTCCCACTCCTAAAGAAAAGCGCCATAGTACCGAGGCCCCTCGCCATTGGCCATCCTCCGCGCCAATCAAACAGTTACGCTAAACCACCCGCCGCACAAGCAAAAGCGGCTTCCCCGTTGGATAAACCGGCTGCCACTCCACCCTCCGACCCTCAATGGTCTAACCCTCCCAACTGCCTCAACCCTTCGACCTATGAGTCTGTCACTCAGATTCCAACGCCCCGCCTCCCAGAGCGCAAGCCCCGCCCCCTTTCCAACGGTACCTCACAGCACGGACAGGCTCCCAATCACGCCAAAACCACGCCCCCCTCCCTCGGAACCGCTGGCTCCCGGTAACGCGGCCCCGCCAAGATTGTTTCCCGTGGTCGCTCACCTGGGGAAAGTAGCGGGCTCGGAGCGGAAGCAACTTCCCCCTCCCTGGTTTGTAACCCCTCACAGCCGCCGCTTCTGCGCAACGCCCGCCAAAAACCCCGTCCAGTGCGCACGCGTCAGCCCCTCCGCCCCCTTCCCAACCTCACTGCGCCGGCGTGAGGCGCGCGCACTTATCAAGTCTCCCTTCCTCCCCTCCCCGTTATTCGTCAGAAGCAGGACTTTGTGACGCATGCGCAAGGTGTGCAGCGCG